GTCAGTGTGTCTGTATGAACCCCTCTCTCTCTCAGTGTATTAACCCCTCTCTCTCTCAGTGTGTCTTACTTGTGTCGTCACTGTCGTAGCTGTCGATTTCCACGGACGTGTCCATGCTTCCCAGCATGCTCTGCCTGTCTGCCAGGGTCAGCGCCCCCGTGCCCCCCGGAGGCAGCCCTGGCGAGAGCCCCCCCGCGGCCCCCCCGGGGAGGGCGGGGGGGGGCAGGTCGGCCCCCGTGGGGGAGAGCCGGGGGAAGTAGGCGGAGATCTGCCGGATGGGCCTGATGGGACCGGGACAGACGTCTATGGCCATGTGCTCCTGGATCGAGATGGTGAGTCTCTTGCCCCTGCGGACCGTCATGGGGCTGAGCCACAGAGAGAGGGGTTAATACACAGAGAGACAGGGGGGTTAATACACAGAGAGAGAGAGAGGGGTTAATACACAGAGAGACAGGGGGGTTAATACACACAGAGAGAGAGAGAGGGGTTAATACACACACAGAGAGAGAGAGACAGGGGGGTTAATACACAGAGAGAGAGAGAGGGGTTAATACACAGAGAGAGAGGGGGGTTAATGCACAGAGAGAGGGGTTAAAATATACAGAGGGAGACTGTGGTTAATACACAGAGAGAGAGACTGGGGTTAATACACAGAGAGAGAGAGACTGGGGTTAATACACAGAGAGAGGGGTTAAAATATACAGAGAGAGAGGGGGGTTAATACACAGAGGGAGACTGGGGTTAATACACAGAGAGAGGGGGTTTATACACAGAGGGAGACTGTGGTTAATACACAGAGAGAGAGACTGGGGTTAATACACAGAGAGAGAGAGACTGGGGTTAATACACAGAGAGAGAGAGACTGTGGTTAATACACAGAGAGAGAGACTGGGGTTAATACACAGAGAGAGAGACTGGGGTTAATACACAGAGAGAGAGAGCCACACCGACACTAACCAGCCTCAGGACAGCACTGCTAGAGCACCACAACCCAGACTCAACCACAT